GGAATAAATCACAACACGTGTCTCAGAGATGGAAAACTATCAATCTGACAATCTCAAAACATATTCAGTCGTTCGCTATGTTTTTCTGACCATGTTCAGTTCAGCACATTATTTCAGGGCTCTACAATGGCACAGCCAAAAGTGTCTCGGCAAAAATAAGGCTGTACTTCTTTCGTTATCGTAATTTGAGAGCCAGTAACAAACAAAAGAAAGATGTTCAAAACCTGATGATACCTATGAAAAGTGTAATCAGACTAATTTTCATGTAATAATAGTAATCAATCTAAAATAACATGTTGAATGACAATGGTCGTATTGTATGGATGTTACAAATCTTGAATTCACAATCAGCTCATTGATTCAATGGCAAGTGTGACGCTTGAAATTAGTGACTTCTAGAACAATTTTTAATACATTATATTGATGGCTCAGCCATCAAAGAAGATAAAAGACTCACTTGACGGAATGAACAGCCTAAGGTAGATACATAAAACAATTGGGTCACACAAAATGCAGTTACACAATGACCACTTCATCCTAAGCAGCATCAACGGATTGGAAAAAAATAAGCTCCTTCATCAATTTCAAAAGAACAAAAAGCACTCCAGTTACATGTGGGAGTACTAGCCGGACATTTCTTACCACAAATGTTAAAATGGTATTGAGGATAGCTTCAGTATCTCCTACTCCTGTAGGAAAAACAGATAAATTAGGCACCACTACTACCAGATTCTTTGAACTATAAACAAATATTAAAAATAAATAAATAAGGAATTGCCGACCGGTTTCCTCAATGGCTTTGGCAACCAGTTTCTCTGAAAACCCCATCCCAACAAAATGCTTGATCAAATTGACATGGGAAACACCTGCAGATGAGCTTGCCTACACAGAAAACAAAAAGTTACAAAATTGAACCATAGATCAAAGGCACTCAAACCCATTAAAACAGATGTACATAACATTTTTACCTCCCCATTACCCATAGCTGTTAGAGTGGGCTGAGAAGAATTCACTGTTCCTGCTAGAATTTCCAGTTCGTCATCAGTATTCCAATCAATATCGGCACTATCTTCTCCAGACATATGTCCGTCCTACAAATGTGTAAAGAGACATAAGAAAGAAAAATAAAAACAGTGAAATGCATTTTAGAACTGAAAAAGATTATCATGTTTCCCCTAGGCTTTTGATTGAGCAGAAAATCTCAACCTGTTCAATAGAACAATGCATATATCATTGACATCAATAGTGAGAGAGATATAAGCATAAAAATTCATGCATTTTAGAAGTGAAAAACTAATGCCTACAACGAACCACAAGCTGAAAGCAGAAATAAAATGACAGGGATTTTTCACATTAAACTTTCATATTGACCGATAAACGGTCTTCAAAATTCAAAATAATCATTAATACTAGAAATTTTAGTTGAAAAAAATTAAACACACACACAGGCACACAGAAAGAGATTATCCCCACAAAATTACTTTTCCGTGCTCCGCCCAAACCCAATCTTCTCGTGTTCAATCAAAATCGAGCAATTTACCACTTCCCCGTCACTGAAAAAAAAATAAGAATTAGAGAATGAAACCAGAAGTCGAAATTCTAGCCAATTGCCAGCATCTAGGAGTCAAAATTCCCACATGCAAATTCTAGAGAGAGAAACAAAAATCAAACAAAGCAGTCCAACTGCACAAAATAAAGGGGGCGAATTTTAGTGGAGAAATGAAATTAAAAACCACATGGACAAAATGAAATGATCCTACAAATAACCGTTCTATCTGTGCTCCGTTTGACGCCAATACTTGTGCTCAATCAAATTGAGAAATGTACTATCTCCTCCACACTGAGAAACAAAACGAAAATAGCATCAAAACACGATTAGTTCCAACAAACCGACCATAGAACAGATTCAACACGGGGTCGCAGGAAGTCGAGCTTCGCACCTACCACTGCACAAAACTTTGGGTAGATATGAAACTGAAGAAAAAAGAGAGATTCTCTCGGCGAAATGCGAATGACTCTATTCTCACAGTTGTGGCGTGATATACTTTTTAAAAAAAAAAAAAAGAGAGAAAGAAAAAAGTTCCTACGCGCCAAGTGAGGATGATGGTAAATTTTGTTCTAGACCGAAGAACAAATATGGATTTTATGAGTGCATTCATCGGTTTTGTGGGTTGACCCGTCAAATTGTATGAAAGATAGAGCGAGTAGCATGAGTTGTGTACACTTGCGTGTAGACAAATCATTCTTCTCAATATATGTGCTAAAATAAAGATGATTGACACTTTTTTTTTAAAAAAAAATTATAAAATATAAAATAAGATACAGCTGTGGAGCATACTACTACATAAACTTATATTTTATGTTTGTTAAACTTTGAGATATTTTATTTGATCTTACCAATTAACTTCTTTAAATGTATATTTAGGTCATCCTCCACCAAAAAAATATATTAATATTAAATTTATTTTGTAGTACCTGTTACTTCAAATAATAATTTATTTTCAAACCCAAAAAAATATTTTTAATATTCTCTTTTAAATTAATTTTTTCAACTTTTTAGTACTACTCATATATTTTATAACTTTACAAATTAAACCACACTATTATTTTAAATTCAATTTGAACTTTATGTAATAAAATAAATTATAAAGTAATAAATATTGATTAAAAATTAAAAATTATAACGCATAAGTTAAAATAAAAAATTATAACTCACGAGATGAAAAATTAAAAATTACAACACACAAGTAAAAATAAATAGTCTTTCAAATGATCAATTAGTGCATTACGAAGTGCAATGTGATAATCTTTATTTCTAATTTTTTTGTACTGAGATATGAATTACTGAAATCGAGTACTTTCATCTATTGCCATTTTGACCTCCGGCGGCGGCGTTTCTATCTCAGTTTCGATTGGTGCACCTAGGCCACGTTCATCCTCGATAATCATGTCATGCAAAATTATACATGTGGTTATTATATCATGTAGCACTTCTTTTTTCCAATAACGTACTAGTTATAGCATGTTCAGCATCTTTTTTGCATGCTTTTTGTTTCATTGCAAAATATCTTTTCTTCGGGCCACGTGGCCATGAATTGTTTGCATAATGGTAGACCATTTTGGATATATGATATTAGCTAAATAATAACACATGTTGTATTCTTTTCCTTGCATTATATAATGAACTAGAGGATCAATATCTTGGGTTAGTTTCGAGAAAAGATGAGATGATTATAGAACGTTGATATCGTTGTTGGAGCCCGACACACCAAAATAAGCACGTCATATCCATAGATCATAATCTGCTACAGCTTCAACAATGATTGTAGACTGTCCACTGCGACCAGCATATTGCTCAGCCCACGTAGTAGGACAATTTTTCCACCTCCAATGCATGAAATCTACGCTCCTCAACATTCTTAGAAAACTACTGATGTAGCAAAGTGTACGAGTGAGACGATATTAATGAGATATTCTCTCGATAAAAGTCACAATCACTTCATATTGTTATTCAATAATCCACCCCCTAAAACAATAGATAGGGAGTCCTTTAGATAAGGCTCTTAAACCCTATTTTTAACTTGTCCAACAAGACAAGATCTCTTATAATAATATTTAATTCCTAACTTATTCTCTAAGATACCTATGCTAATAATAATAATAATAATAATAATAATAATAATAATAATAATAATAACAATAACAATAATCTACATCATTCTCCCTCGGTTCGGAAGGCTTCGCCCTCGAAGCCGATGCACACCCGTGGCCGGGTGTGGTGTCGAACCCATGGTATGAAACCCCCGTCGTTTTCTCCGGTCGAACATGAAGGTTGAACATCACTGTGATCTACCTTGGCGAGCCACAAAATCCTAGGTTGCGCGAATGACACTTTTCCTCTCCTCCACTTGAGTTACTGGCCAACCCAAACAAATACTTTGGAACCACAATCCATTAAATAACATTTTTTTGTTTCCGAGAATTGATTTGAAAAGTGCACCATCGTCAACAATGGCAACCTCACACTTCCCTTCATGAAACTGCTTCAACATATATAACTGCGTGTCTTCTTCAACGGTTTCGATAGCAGCAATTCCAGCTTCATCCTTCAGCCTCGAAGGCTCCTTATCAAAGAATCGGCGGACCGTCGTAGAGACCGTCCACTTTGCCGGTAAAATGCTCCTCCACCTCCTTGGGTCCTTCATCAAACAAAGGCGGACCATCGTACAATGGCCCATCAACTTGCTCTCCATCGAATTCGGAAATGTCAACACGAAACGGGCCTTCCCATCGAACATATTCGCGATCAAGCCCACCAAAAAACTCGGGGATGTCGAACCCCGCAAAGGCGGCGCCATCATGTTCAAGTCCCCAATCGCATCGGGCACGATATCCGCCGACGAAGGCAGCCTCCTCGCGCTTGCCTCTGTCGTGCCGTTGATCGTCGCCATCCACGAAGACTTGACCCAGTCGCTGCATGTCACGACCGTTGAATGCAGCGAAGGGGTCAGCCTCGACGTGCGGGGGTGGAAAATCGTTTAAGGGATTCACCTCTGAGACTGTCTCCTCGCCGTCTTCGTCGCCGGATGGTCGTTGTGTAGATCCCCGGCGGGGCGCCCCGCCTGGAACACAGCCTCCACGTCCTCTGCCTATTCCCCCGCACACGTCCTGATTGCCGGCGTCACGGTACGTCTGCTTGTCCCAAACCATTGTACGTAGAGTTAGACGTATGTCCCCGATCTCCGCGGACAGATCTGCAATCTGACGTCCCATCGTCTTGAATCCGCGGCCAAACCACTTGTTCCGGCGGCTCATGTTGTAGATGGCGGCGACACGCCTGTCGTTTGCAGCATCTTGTCTTCGCGACAGCATTGTGAATTGTGTTGACTTCTGATACCAACTGATGTAGAAAAGCATACGAGTGAGACGATATTAATGAGATACTCTCTCGATAAAACTCACAATCAATTCATATTCATATTCAATAATCCACCCCATAAAACAATAGATATAGAGTCCTTTAAATAAGGCTCCTAAACCCTATTCTTAGCTTGTCAAACAAGACAAGATCTTTTATAATAATATTTAATTCCTAAAGGGCAACAACAACAACAACAACAACAGCAACAGCAACAACAACAACAACAACAACAACAACAACAACAATAATAATAATAATAATAATAATAATAATAATCATCATCATCTACACCAACTACGTTGCTGACCAATATATAGAAGACTTGAAATATCGTCAGATGTGGGCCACCGCAGATATCGCTTGCCAAGTACCTCAACTATCACTCGTCAGAACTTTTTCATACTTTCAATTACAGTAGACTCGCCAATTTTGACATACTCATCGGTAGCATCTGCTGGAATACCCTATGCCAACATACGGAAGACAACAGTTATTTTTGTATTGGAGATAATCCAAGTCTGCTAGCTCGATTCACTCGGTGTTGAAAGTAATGATCATGATCTTTGACTGCGTCGACAATTCGAAGAAACAACGAGCGAGACATTTTGTATCTTCTATGAAATATGGTCTCGTTATACAATGAATTTTCTGAGAAATAATCATTGTACAACCTACGATCAATAGCCTCTCGATCGCGACTGATAAAAATATGCCCAGGAACAGAACCTCCATGAGAGGCTTCTTGGTTGTGTTGATTGAGAAGACGTTGAATGATGATGTTGTTATTATCGATAACACGAGTTATCACTGCTTGTTTTTTACGATGAGCATTCATAATTAGCATATGATTATCATCATCATCAGATGAGGAAGATGACGAATTTCCAAAATTAAATTCATTGTAGAAGTGTGGGATAGAGAAATATGATAAGATGATTGAAGAGATTCAAGTGTGTGAAGGATTTAGTATATGTTATGTTCCTATAAAACTATCTTTGGAAAATCGAGTTTGAACTAGAAAAAAATTTCAAATAAAAATAACTTATTAGGCAAGGAGGGTTCAATGTAACGTAAGGTTGGTATCGGTTCGGTAACCGAACCGATAATAAACCAATATTTTCCATAACCATAAAATGCAAAATCAAAACTGAACCGACTCATAGTTGGTAACTGAATTTTCTATTACTGAAAACTCGGTTCGGTTTCAGTTTTGAACCAAAAAACCCAAAAAAGAAAAAAGCCCAACAACATGTTCCCACTTCCCAGGCTCCCAGCATGTTCCTAATCATGTCACTAACACATTAATAAGAAAAAAATTCAGAAGTTCCATGATGTTGCAACTTAAGTAGGTGATTCCATGGAGAGAAAACTTGAGTGCTAAATAGACCTATATTAAAAATTAGGGCAAACACCAATATAAAAAATAAAGGCAAACACCAATATCAAAAATTGTATACTGTTGGAAGGTGATGTCAGTTCAGTACTAAAGCTCATCATCTCTCATGGCTGCATAAAAAGGGAAACGAATTTCAGTACTTACTCACCTGAATTTGTGATGCTGGTTATCGGTGTCGGAGAGAATTCTACTTAGAAGGTGAAGGCGATGGACAGGGCAGCATGCCGGAGAGAATTCCAGTGTCGGTGTCGATTTTAATAGCTAGGGTTGAGGAGTGGTTGTGGCTTCGCAAACTACAACTGAGGAGTTATCTGCTTTCTTTCTTCCTTGTTGGAGTGAGGAGTGAGGGTCGGTGTTAATTCACATAATTAAAAAAAATGACCCTAATTTAAATTTTTAATTGAGCAAGGAATACTAATAACAATTAACTAATAGTCTAAGGCTGTGTTTGGTAAGCCAAATAAGCTAGCTCATAGCTTATTTGATTAGCTTATAAGCTCCCTGTATTCAAATAAGCCTCGTTTGGTAGGACGAGCTTTTTTTAAAAGTTCGAGCTTATCTCATAAACTACTTTAGGTAGCTTTTCAAATAAGCTAGTTGAATTTTTATTTCAGCTAGCTTATCAGCTAATTTTACCAAACACTTTATCATATAAGCTAGCTTTTCAGTTATAAGCTAAAAAATTACAAATAAGCTATAAGTTAGCTTATAGCTATCAGCTAGCTTATCAACTAGTTTTACC